TTTTGTAAACCAATGTAACCGGAACTTCAGATGAATCGGTCCTGCTGTCCTAAAGAAGGCTTTGAAATAAATGGACTGGTGGGATATAAATAGCTATTGTAAATTCATACATGACAGAAGCATGTATGCTGTAGGCCAGTCTGTCCCACATTAGGCCCCAAAGCTTCGCAAACAGTCCGCTGTTCATAATACATAATAGTCATTTCTCATTACCAAAATGATCAAACCTGTAAACTGGTTTGTATTCATGTAACCTATATTGCGTGAAATATTTATTATTATTATTACTATAATGTTCAATACTTTAAAGCCTCTGAGGTTTAAAAGATATCACTGGACTGAGCCCAAGAAAGACGGCTGTGGATCCCCTTACAGACAATTCTGGCATACGGGAAGTCTTTGCGTTAAGACCTTGTCATATGACTGGAATTGGCACCGATCCCCGCTGACTAACATGCTTTTATCAAGCCTAAAGTGCCTTTTTATTAAGCCGCACCATCCGCCAAGGCAATATAAGAGTTTCCTACTTAGTGGGATGGGTTGAATGGCAGTGAGGCTGAAGCCGCAGATGTTTTGGTTGGCCGACATCTGAAGGCTTTATCGTCATCGGTGGCATTCGCAAGCACTCACGGCTGCCCCAGCAAAATAGTATGACATCCAAACGTTGGTCTTAGTGTTGATCCATCGAGTCGCAGGCTGATGGTTTCAAGAAAGAAACTAGATTCAGTCCGAATAAAATTCACGCTACTGTCTTTAACGAAGGAATCTGAATTCTCACTGAACTCCTCAGGGGATTTAAACACATTATCTTAACCATGGCATGGAGCCTGAAAGCTGGAAATTAGGTCATATCACAACTTTTTTCAAAGGTGTCCAATGAAACATCCACATAAAATAAAGGTTTGTAACTTTTATGTCTTCGGGACTGAAGGATTCTCCGGTTTACGTTGGTTCACGCTACTACTAACCTCACTGCACTCCACTATCATGGTTTCAGAAGAGGGTGTTCATTTGTCACTATTCTACTTGCTTCAGTAGATAGTTGAACTATTATTATTATTATTATTATTAGTCCCTTGGGTTCCTAGTGGAACATAGGGCTTCAGTAGCACGCCTCCAGTGACCTCTGTTCTCTGAGATCTTTTGAACCTGGTCCCACGACAGCCCAGAAGCTCTCATTTCCTGCTCGCACGACCTCCTCCATGTCACCCTCGGACGTCCAACTCGTCGCTTCCCATGGGGATTCCACTCGAGGGCCTGACGCGTGATGTCCTCAGTCGGCCTTCTCAGTGCATGGCCAATCCATCTCCACTTCTTCCTGCATATTTGTTGCGTGATAGGTTCTTGGTTGGTTCGTTCCCAGAGTTCCTTGTTGCTTATTTTTTCTGGCCATCTGATCTTCAGCAGCGAGCGTAAGCAGTTGTTGATGAATGTCTGTAGTTTATTGGAAATACCTTTCGTGACGCGCCAAGTCTCTGAGCCATACAAGAGCACTGACTTGACGTTGGTGTTGAAAATCCGTATCTTGTTCCGCATGCTGAGTGCAGAAGATCTCCACACTGGTTTCAGGCTAATGAACGCCTGTCTTGCTTTTCCGATTCTGACTTTGACGTCCTCGTCCGTCCCGCCTGTAGTTGAAACAGTGCTTCCTAGATAAGTGAAGGAGGTTACTTCCTTCAAGTTTCTCCCGTTGACGGTGATTGGAGTTTGTTGTTGTTGTTGTTGATGGTGGTGGTGCGGTATCTTCATCACTTCTGTCTTCTCTATATTCACCTGAAGTCCCGTCTTCGCTGCCTCTTCTATCAACTTGTTAGTTTTTGCCTGCAGATCTTCAAGTTTATGTGACATTAGGCATAAGTCATCGGCGAAATCCAAGTCTTCTAGGTTCTTTTCCGTCGTCCAGTGTATCCCCCTCTTCTCGCTGCCTACTGTTTGCTGCATGATCCAGTCCACCACAATCAAGGAATATCATGGGGGATAGTAGGCAACCTTGTTTCACTCCTGTCTTCACTTCAAAGGCATCACTGAGCTTCCCATTGTGGATTACTTGGCATGTGGCATCTTCATATAGTTGTTGAATGAGGCGGATAAAGGTTTGCGGTACTCCGTAGTATTGAAGCAGTTTCCAAATTACTTCTCGGTCGACGCTGTCAAAGGCCTTCTCAAAGTCGATGAAGTTGAGGTGGAGAGCTGATTGCCATTCTATGCTCTGTTCTATGATGATACGAAGCGTTGCAATTTGGTCTGCACATGATTTGTACTTCCTGAAGCCTGCCTGTTCCGGTCGTAGTTTTGAATCCAGTGCATCCCTTAGCCTCTCCAGGATGATGCGGCTTAATATTTTACTTGGGGTGGACAGGAGAGTGATTCCGCGCCAGTTCTTGCAAGCACTGAGGTCTCCCTTCTTCGGCAGTTTGACAAGGTAACCCTTCTTCCAATCGTCAGGTACCTTCTCTTCCTTCCACACCTTCTGCAATAGTGGTGTGAGCATGTCCGCTGTTGTCTCTGCATCTGTTCTCAGTGCTTCTGGCGGTATTCCATCTGGTCCTGCTGCTTTCCCGCATTTCAGTAGCTTTATGGCGTTCAGGACTTCCATTTTCGTTGGGGGATTAATGTTCACTTGTAGTTCAGCGGCTGCAGGTGGTATTTCTGGACGAAGTGCAGGTGGTGGTCGATTCAAGAGCTTCTTGAAGTGGTCGGCCCATCGTTTCCTCTGTTTCTCTTCTTTTGTAATTAAATTTCCTTCTTCATCTTTTATTGGTTTCATCTGTGTTGGTCTCTTCCCTGATAGCAACCTGGTTATTTGATACAATGTCGTCAGGTCTCTCTTACCTGCAGCCTGTTCTGCTTCACTTGCCAGTGTTTCGTAGAAGTGTCTTTTGTCTTTGCGTGCACTCTTCTTCACTTCTTTGTCCAGTGTTTTATACATTGTGCTCAGTTCCTCTTGTCGTTGAGCATCCTTGCACTGGTTTATCTTCTGCTTCACCATCCTCCTCTCCTCTATCAGCTTCCAGGTATCCGTCGAGATCCATTCCTTGTCTTCTTTCTTCTTCCTTCCTAATACTGTTGTGCAGGTTTCTTTCCACATAGCTTTCAAAGACTTCCAGTGTTCTTCCACACAGGTTTCTTCAGGGATGTTCCTCGATGTCTCCCATTTTGTCTTGATGGCTGCCTTGAAGATCTCCTTTGTAGTTTCATCCTTCAGTTTCCGAGTGTTGTACTTGAATTGAGGTCTATCACCAGCTTCCTTGAAGGCTTTTAACTTGATTTGGAAGGTTCCTTGCACTAGGATAGTGGTCTGAACCTACATCTGCTCCTCTTCTTGACCTTGTGTTAAGTAGACTGCGTCTCCATTTTCTTGAGATTGAGATAAAGTCGATTTGATTTTTAGTGTGTCCATCTGGTGAAATCCATGTCGCTTTGTGGATATCTTTGTGCCTGAACACACTGCCTCCAATCACCAAATCGTTGAATGCGCAGAATTCTGCAAACAATTCTCCATTCTCATTCATTTCACCTAGCGCCTCTCGACCCATGGTTAGTTCTCTTCCCGTGTTGTCCCCTCCCAGTTTGGCATTCATGTCGCCCATCAGAATTTTGATATCGCCAACTGACGTCTTGTCCAGTGTTGATTGAAGTTGTCTGTAGAAATCCTCCTTTTTCTCTTGCTCTGCATTATTTGTAGGTGCATAACATTGTATGATTGTGACCTTTCTTCCTTTTGAGTTGAATCTTGCTGTCATGATCCTGGAGGAGATTGGTTCCCACTGCATGAGAGCCTTCGATGCTCTTGAGGACATCATGATAGCCACTCCCTCAGTGTGCTCGTGGTTGGCGTCTGGGTGACCGGAGTAGATTATTGATTCTCCAGTTGACAGTTTGGAGAGTCCACTCCCATTCCATCTGCTTTCGCAAATCCCAAGCACTTCGATGTTATACCTTCTCATCTCCTTGCAATCTGGGCTGCCTTACTGGGTTCAAACATCGTGCGGACATTCCATGTCCCCACGTTTACTTTCGCTTTCATCGAGAGAAGACACATCGGCCAATTGGCTTCCCGAAGGCTTTCACCAACTGGCGTCATTTCGCCTCTCCGATTCCAGCGGGGAATAAGTTTGTTTTCATTTTTTATATTTTGTTTGTGCTTTGAAGTTTCTTTAGCGGTTAGATTTGTTTTACGGGGTAGGGTTGCTAGCCCTATGCCCAACCTTCCCTCTTTACCCGGGCTTAGGACCGGCTAGTAACTAGTAAACTAGTTAACCAGGCGAGGTTAGATAGTTGAACCAGCATAACCGATTTTCACGGTGGAACTGATGTCATATAACTTGATTTTCTTCTGATCGCACGAACTACAACTGTCTTTCGAGCAAGTTGAGGTTGGAAGGTATCAGCTCCTTGTCAGTCAATTGGCTGTCATCATGCTTAAGTAACCTCCTGTTCAATGTTTGAGTGAATTCTGTCATGTACGAAAAAAGCGATGTACGAGTAGAATATCTTATGGTTCGGTTTCAGGACATTCTCACTTGCATAGACTACTTACCTTCACAGACTCCTGTAATTCCTCTGCCTGATGGTATTGTGAAGATGTTGAGAGAATTAGGAGAAGGCGACAAGCTCATGTTGCGAAATGATTTGACCCAACTTCAACATAAGGCTGACCGACAATGGTCGAATTTTCACTCCTTAGAAATTCAAGGGGATACACTGGAGCTCGTTGCCCACTTATTGCACATGCTGAAGCCAGTTAGGTGGAACCTTATTCCGTTCCGTTAAAAACCACCCCATGATATCTGAAACCACTTTCCCTTTCAGATTATTGCACTGTCTAAGAGTACTTCCACCGCCAAACTTGTACACACTGGTCTACTCACCTCTTGGCAAAAACGAACTCACAAGTCAGATTTGACACTTTCGATCGTTATTCTTTACATTATCACAGGCTTTTCGCCTTCTATCTTCGTACCTCAAACAAGATTCTGAATTTAAGGATTTTTGAATCTGTGCGTCTCACTGACGCGCGGTATTAGAAAGTTTATCCAGTGTTCGCTTACGAATGGTTTTATCCACTTAATATTATTATTACTGCATAATATGGTTGCCGCAGTCTCCCGAAGCGTTATGCTTAAAATGGAGGATAAAATTAGCTCGCGTAATCATGTTGAGTCCAAATTATCTGAACCTCAAAAATCTAGTCACACTATTCAGTCTTTTGTTGATAATAAGAGTAAATCGGATAATAATTATCATGATCATACGTTGAAACCTGAAGCCTGTATTAGGACGGTTACCAAGGTTGGTTTCGTGAATTTGCCATATCAGATCCATCGGAAAGCTGTTCGACGAGGTTTTGTATTTAATCTTATGGTTACCGGATACTCAGGTCTGGGAAAATCTACTTTTATCAATGCCCTCTTTTGCACAGATTTGTATAATAATGACTATCCTGTAAGTTAGTCTTTAATACGATTGAGTAAATTAATTTGGCCAACTGATCAGTTGACCAAATTAATTTATATTTTATGAAATATATTTCAGAATCTTTTAACGTTCGCCTACCCCTATTATCACTTAATAGGGACTGAGTTCCAAAAAGATATACGTCTATCCTTCAGTTTTAGCCAAAGAAATAACCTGTTGTATCTATTCGTCATGGTTAGGATAATAATAATTATTGTATCTGTTACTTACTAGTCAACTAACAGTAATTTCAAGTTTCATCATCTCATTACAGTTTATCAGGTGAGAAATTCAGCTTATGTGTCATCCAAAACTCTCTGAACAGTTGAGATATATCTTATGGTGATTGTTTTACTCTACCTTAGGTTAAATATGGGGCATCGAATGGTAGTTATACAGTTAAATAGAAAGTGTCTGTGATGACCATTATCGATACTTTTTTCCGTATGTTTACCTTGTGTGGACTCATATAAATTTACATGGAAACCTATCACAGTCAATGATATTCTCTTCAATTGACTGTTGAACTTACGATTATGAGAAAACCAGGTCATATAATGCCTAGTCAGAAGATATGCTGTGGAACTATTAGTGTAGTCTTATTTTATCATTGCGTTAGCTTTATGCAACTCAGATGAAAACAGCCGATCGTGCTTGTAAGTAGAGGACATATGGTTGTTTTGTCCTGGAAAGATTTCTGTCGCGGTAGGAAACAAATCTGGTTCTCAAAGTTTGAGATACTCATGATTCATTTATTGAGCATAAATGGCACCTGCGTACGTAGAAGTAACCGAGCTTTCGGATTTGGAAACGTACAAGCATACTTATTATAATTACGGTATTCTAAACTGGTGCATTGAATGGTTGCAAATGGTTGATGATGAAATAGAAAAACTCCGATAAATAGTTTCCATGTCGAGGTAGTTGACTTCGAGGTTAGGTGTTTTTAACTTGGCTGGGCGTAATGAAATAAGGACCTGTATAGCGAAAGCTCAGTCAGAAAGCTCTCTTTGGGACTGAGTAGGTATGCAGTTTTCATTACAAAGACTTGAGAAGTAGCCTAGAATACTTATGCAGGAAGAACATTGTGAGGATTAACAACTGTTTAATAGTGAAAATCATACCTAATATATAGTTTGCTATTCTAAGTTTCTAAATTTTGAGTATCTTCAATGCTAAGACCAGATAGGTGATAAACTGAATGATCAATCTACGAGAAGGCTTATATCAAATAAGGTCACCCTTTAGCACTCAGCGTTCCAATAAGTATGAGTCAAGTGCTACCATAAGTTACTCGTCTTATTTCAAGTAAAGAAGCTAAGACCACAGTCTTTAATGTTTTTATAACGCCTCAAAAAGCCGTTGAAAGTCTTAGCTGGAACACTTCTGGTAAAAATGTCTTAAAATTTGCCACAGGTTTAAAACTTAGCACCAAATCAATGTAAAATACATTACTGTCACAGTTAGCATAAGATTCAAAGTAGTGGCGGACTAAAATAACTCGGTCCTTTTTTACTAAAGACACTATCATCCATGCTTCTTCAAGCCTGTATGTATGGTGAGATTTATACCACGAATGAAGCATGCTAAACGCATCAGAGTTAAATATAAGCCCATCTTAACCGTGTCAATTTTGAGTGTATCAAATCACCCTCAGTGGCAGGTAACTCTTTACCATGGATCCTCAATTTTTATTACGCAAATTTCCGCATCGAAAACAATTTAGTTATGGTTTTCTTTGTCTTGAATTCTTGGAGGTATTAAAAATAGCTGATTATGTACAATGTCACCCGTTAATTCAGAATTTTTATGACCTAAGATTGCCATTCATTACTATAGACTGAGTTGTGGTAGATTTTATAAGTTTAGATTAAAATTCTGCACAGGATTTCGGTAATATATAGGTGAGTTAAATACTGTTTACTCATAGTTATTTATCCAACCCGAGTTTTTACCCAAGCTTTGCTTACTTTGCAATCCCCTCTTATTTTAAGACCTTTCTCCTTATTGTGGAAAAACAGTTTTGATGATTTTCGTGTAGTTAAGTTCTTTATATCAGTTACAAGAAATTGTTTCTATCGTTAATAATAGTTAGAAATCATTTTGCTAAGCTTCTCCGATAACGACCCAGGGGATAGTTGTCTTGTTCTTTGGGGATAAGAGGGCATGGAAGACAGTTCTAAGCAACTTTATGTTTGTATAGGAGACAGTGGCCAGTAGGTTGCAGGCATTTTTCCAATTATCAAGTCGTCTACGCAAATAGCCATCTAGGTAAGCCTATGAAGGTTTTAGGAAAAACCAAGTATTATTCAATGGTACTTTAAAGTGCTTAACACTGGTTTCGCCCTTGCTTAGCCCAAGTTCAGATTACTTGGCAAATCATAGTTTCAGTCGTTTCGTAAGAAATGTTTGCTGTTTTTTCGGTTACTTGTCTTAGACTCATATTTACACATTACAGATTATAATTAGTGGCAGTTTCGGAAATTTTTACTTGACTGACAAGAAACCTCTTAAAGTCATTATGTTTTCAGCCCAAAGTAGAACTTCGCACACAAGCATATTGGTTCAACTTGCCACACTTCTAGTAGTATAAAAAAACAAATGTATAGGAAAGACTGATAATAAAGTAGGACAAAAGTGTATGGCGGTAGAGGAAGTTTAAAAAACTAAGGTTATTCAAAACAGTCAAGTTTAAAACGGCATCAGAGAGTGAATACATCTGCGCCATCGACTAATTTTCATCCGTCTTACCAAGAGTTCCCAACCACTGATTCCTGTCGTCTCGGGGATCCCAGCCATGTAGCTTACACTTTTATACACGACTCAGACCATCAGTCAAGGACTTCATGTAATGATGCTGCGTCTCACTCTGGTTACTCTGGACCCTCTTCTAACTTAATCCAACTTCTAACATTGCACATCGAGGTAGGCCGTCACTTGGCATATGCAACACATGTCCAAGCCATCTCAGTCGATGATGGTTCACGACCTCATTGAAAACTTGCTTTCTTTGCCTAGTATCATTTGGCTGACTTCAATATTGCTCACACGGTGATCCCACCATACGCAAGCAATCAATTCATGAAATTAATATGATTTCAGTTGAAGTGTAACGCAATAAACTCGAAAAGTAGTGAAATGATTACGGAGTTTAGCAGAAATGTAAGGATCTCATTTTCTAGACTGTATAGTTGTACTCATACCTAATTAGTTGAAACAACTGCATAACAATAATGTATTCTGAAAAGTTATTTTTCAAAGGAAGAGCAATCTAAGAAACAAAGGGAGTGTGCAAGCTAAGGCCTTTAAAAATATTACATAGTGAGATTGAAAACAAAGCACTCAGATCAAAATTCCAACGAAATACGGAGCGAAGAAAACTAACAAAAATAAAGTGAGCAAGATACAATATGAAGGTATTAAAAGTTAGTTTAAAACGAAATCAAAACTCTAGCTGTCGTAAGAATGATAAGTATACGTGATTTTTTCAATAAAAATGTCAGGTTTAAACTCGTGAATCACCTTACCAGGTCCAGAGTAGTAGTTTTTTTAACGAAAGCTTACCACGTTTTCATCACTTTCTATCCATTGTGTTTTTTTATTTTTTCCGCCTAACCTTTCATTGAACGCTCAGTTTGACTGATTCATTTTCACACTTATTGCACACTACCCTTTTAGTTTCTAGCTTCAGCAGTATATTCGCTCTTCCAGATTGTTATCCACTTTGTATAACAATCTTTCAGAATGCACCACCAGTAATTGATTGTTTTCAACTAGTTTTAATTATTCTCACTGTAATAGTTAAACAACATAGTTTACTACTGTTGTTATCACCCTTATTAAAACTCAAATTCTGTTAGCCATTGTTGTATCATGTGTGTATATTGGGTAAATCCCAAGTGTAGCTGTAAAGCTTGACATGAAGTTGTGAAGAATATGTATTTACTGAAACCGTGTTTTCAACTTTTTTTTTAACGTATAGCCTTGTAGATGGAACCTTTGAAAATAATGTTTTATTCTTTGAAGTTTATTTCAAATTTTTTCCTATAAGGTACAGAATATTCAAGTTTTAGTTGTATTTAGAGATTTACAAAAGTTAGTGCTATTTAGATTTCGCTGATGAAAAGAAGGAATTCTACCTTCACCTCAATCACACACTAATAAATTCAATTTTAATACATATTGACATTTATAATCCTACTACTATGCACCATCGATTTGAGTATATGGTGCAATATGGAAATAAAATATGCTCATTTGACCTTAGGGGAATCTTCATCCCTTAGTTTTAAATTGAAAGTATTTTTATTTTGAGGATAATGTTGGTTTTATTTCGTTAACTTATGCTGTGAGAAATGGCTGTGCTTCGTATTGTTTGGTCTTGTGAAAAGTGATGTTTACTAGCTTCTACATATTGTTAAGGTCACATGTGTATATTTTCCTCTCATTTACTGTAAAATATATGAATGTTTTTCTCAGGGTCCTTCAAAGCGTTCCCATTCCTTGGGAACTCATGTAAATGCAAAGACTTTTGTACTAAGTGAGGCCAAAGTTTCCCTGTTACTAACTCTAATTGATACTCCGGGCTTTGGAAATGATCTGGATAATTCGATAAGTTGGAAACCTTTGGTCAAGAATATCGATTCCCGTTTTGAATCTTATCTACGATCTGAACTGAATGTTTCTCGAACAGCTGTTGGATCTGGTGCATCATACCAACCAAGCTTACCGGATGACAAACGAGTGCACTTATGTTTATACTTCGTTTCTCCTAATGGACATGGTCTACATCAACTAGACATAGAAACTCTAAAGCAGCTGCATAATAGAGTAAGTTAAATCAGATGAAATTATTACCTATTTCTCTGTTTTCTGTATTTCTCTTGCCCAACATAAAACTAGTTCCAGTAATCACCAACCGTTTCTTTTATTTCCCTAAAATTAGTTTGAACACTAAGTTATAAGAAATTTGGTTAGTTGTGGCTAACGGAGAAATCGAGGACGTGCGTTTCGTCCTATTTGAGACTCATCGGCCGGATGTACTTGCACCCCAGTGAGTGATGTTGTTCCCACTGAGACTCGAACTTCGTACCCATCGCTTCAAACGCCAAGGCGTTATCCACTATGTCATGGAGGAACGATAGCCACTTCTTGTACAACAAGTATTAGTTATACTATTTATTGATATACTTGTAATTCTCCGTTGTTTCATTGGATCGTATTGTTCTATCTCTATCGGTATATGGGCTCCTATGTGGATGACTCAATATTGCCTGAATGTTAATTATGGTGATTTGGTTGTTTGTGGCTAGCACAGGAATCCAGGATGGAGAATTACAAGTATATCAGTAAACGGCACGAAGTTGTAAGTCACTGGAAAAAACTTTCGAATTGGATTATAATATTATTCAGTTACAGAAAACATTGCAAATTGGTGCCATATATTAACTGTATAAATTAGTGTGAAGATTAAGCATTACCTGTTTTAAGTTTTAACAGTAAGTGATAAAACGGTTCTCTGAACCGATAATAAAGAGGATTAATCACTAGTAACGTTTACTTGACTACGAATACTATAAAATTCTTCACTACCTAGACCACTGAAAAGTGATTATCCTGATAAAAGTGGTTCTCAGTCTGTAGACATTAGTGTTTAGTTAACTTAAAAGTTGATGGCACATAAGCAGTAATGAAATAAACACATTTAACATTGTGGAGCCCTTGACTAAGATCTATCATCTGAAGTCAGTATGCTTGAAAACAGCATAGTAAGGCTCACGTCTGTTTGTTTGTCGATGATGTAGATCTCAGATATACGTTGCTTAGGGTCCATGAAGCGTTAAAAATCAGCACTTGGAAACCCTGAACTATATAACTGGAAGTAGATACTAGTGGCTTGAATATACTTAGTCTCTGCCGCTACCAAATTTCGGATATATTATCATTTTTGTTACTGACTCGTTTATTATGACATCTACCCGTTTACTCTCACTTTTTCACTTTGTACTGTTGTTACTAGGTATGGAAATTTCGTTGATACACTTTTGCACCGAATTCTTGTTAACAATGTCTATCTGTTTAATATGTTTAAAGATGAAAACAATTTGTACTGTTTCAAAGCAGTTTTCGTATATCTGGTAGTAAAATCTCATGATAGTTGCATAGGCTACTTCACTCTTTATATTTAATACTATGACAGACGTCTTTCGATTCCCCTCATCGTTTCTTCTAATCCCACCAAAAATTTCTAGTTCACATTCCCTATGCACCCAGTCTTAGAGTCACTCAGTAACCAATCAATTCTGTGGGATGCATTGAACTGTAAAACCTGGACACTGTGATATAGTATGATTCCTTATTAGATTTGTTTATTTGACATAGCACACAGGTTATAGAGTATTCTGTACTGGATAGTATTTCGAGCATAAACTATTTTTCATAATCATGTGATATAATTATGTGCAATTTTTTTCTCGAAACTTCATTCAGTGAAGAATACTACATCACGATGCGCTATATCGAATAAACAAATCCAATCTATGAAAAGAGGTTGATTGATTATGTATATTTGGTATTCAAACGCATTTACATCTCAGTCACATCCTTCAAACATGTGGTTTGATAGGTATAGATTATTACACTGAAATTTAACCCTTTTATTTACAAAAGTTTATTTCGTTCAATTTGACCAGGAGTACACTACAGGTTATTTTCGTTTGGCCATCATAATTAAATGGAAGTTGTCTCTTTCACCTACCTACCTAGGCAGTATCGTTTTAACTACAGGCGAAGGCATAGATGAGGATGTCAAAGTCAGGATAGCAAACACAGCAAGACAGGCCTTCTTGCATTCATCTGAAATCAGTGTGGAGATCTGCTGCACTGCACTGCACTGCACTGGACTCAGCATACGGCGTGAACAAGATCCGGAATTTCAACACTAATTCAGTCAAGTCAGTGCTTCCATATGATTCAGAAACTTGGCGCGTTACGAAAAGCATTCCTAATAAACTGCAGACATTTATGAACACCTACCACCTACGCTCATTTGATACTGACACTGACATTGAAGATCAGATGGTTGGAATAATAAGAACAAGCAACAAGGAACTCTGGTTGGCTGGAAACGACACAACCAAGAACCCATCACCCAACAAATACACAGAAGAAGGTGGAGATGGATTGCATTTGACAGAAACTAAGAAGACTATTCGGGGACATCACGCGCCAGGCCAGCTCAGGCCCTCAAGTGGAACCCACAGGGTGAAACGAGGAGTTGGGCGTTCCAGCTGAGGGTGACATGGAGGAGATGGTGTGATGAAGAAATGAAAGCTTGTGGGCAGTGGTGGAGCCAGGTTGAAAGACTGCAGAAAGAGAGTGAAATGGCGACGCGGTGCTGCAGTCCTATGTTCGACTGGGAACCCAAGGGAGAAATAATAATAATGAAATGAATCTAATAGTATTTATTTTACCACTAGCCTTTACCTTGTCGTGCACACTGGTCATTTTTGAGTATATCCGATCTTATGATGACTATTATTGAACTGACTTACTACTATGAACACTTAACTCACAAGTGTAAACTATACTATGCCTTCTTCTATTCAACTGTTTACTCGTCTCAAAATAAGTTTGATTTATGATCGAAATACAACTAATTAACAAGTATAATTAATTTATCTTGCCCTCGAAGTGTCTGTTCCTAAAGACCCATAAATCTATTTAAAATGCATATGTATTGGTTGGTTCACTTGCATCCTTCTCAAAGAAAACATTGAATAAATGAAGAAAATAATAATTATGTCCCTTTGTATAAGGACCTATTTTCTGTCAAATGAATGAAAACGCGAACAAAACCTTTTATACTTTACTCCGGAAACATTAGTCTTGATGTCTTCATTTTGAGTAGTTTTTACAAATTTCCTAGGCATATACTTTCTAGGGCTTTAAATAAGCTCAATATCTTTTTCTTTATATGTTAAAACTATCAATATTTAAAAGTTATACTTAGTTTGATGACTTTCTCATAGCAATTATAATGAGTCACTTTATTCGAGACAAGATTTTTGATATACTTTAGAATTATCAACATCTAGTATTGCAACAAATTAACTCCTATACAACATTTTCAGTAGAAAGGATTTTGGCCATTAAATTATCTAAATAATAATGATAATGAACACGATAGTACATAAATGATTGCATGGACAAAGTAGCGGTTTAATTCACTGTTACAAAGGTAGTTGAGTAGGTTCTGACCTAACTTTTTTTTTCTTCACATAAAATACGTGGTAAATAAGGCTTAGTTTGTCTTTTGTACTTAGCTGTACGGGCATAAAGTTGTTAAGTTGTTTTTTATCCTCCCCAGAAAGAGATGTACATAAAGAGGATGCTCATTGTCCGAAAAATGACCTTAACCAATCGCCGGCATGAATTCAAGTGTCTTTCTACAACAGTGCCAACCAGTTGCTTTAAAAGTACACCACTAACCCTGCGACAGTTTCCAAAGTCCTGCACAACGTAACATAGTCTTTTCTAAACAATCCATGAGAAGGTGATCGGAAGCAAGACAGAAGAACAGGCAGTATATAGGAATTAATGTCATAGAAGTTGAGGCTGATTCTCAACTTAAGTAATATTCTTGGCAAAAGATTCTTTTGGAAGTCATAACGATATGAGATGACTAGAAAGATGGGGAGAAAAACTTAATCGAAGGCAAATAAAGTTTGATTTATTTCCTACAATACACTATACATATTACAAGATCCGTGGAACTGAAGCAGTTTAAATAAGTATTGCTTAAACCTGAGACTAAAATTGGCAGCTTAAAATTTAGAAGGGTTCAGCTTTTAACACCATTCCGTCGAATACAGGTAAGGAACTATTCACCTGAGAACATCCAAAGGCCCCTGTTTCGAATCCTGTCATCACTCATATTTTCATTTCACCTTCAATCATCACACAGTATCAGCAGGAGTGCGTTAGAACCTGGGAAGGAAGTATTGGTTTTGCTGTAGATACTAGGTAAGACAATATCAATTTGACGGCATAGAATGGCTAATTCAAAGTGGAAGACATCAAGACACTCTTAACTACTAGCCTATTTTCCATCAGTAATTTCTTTAAATAGTTTCCGTACATTCTAAGGGCTTTTACGTGACAGAAACTCTTGGTGGCATATTGTCTTTAAATGTTATACTTCTAACTTTATCAAGCAGTTAAATCTTCTAACATTACAATAATCATTTATCAGTGTTTGAACCCACATAAATTACATTCCATTCATCTTCAGTACTAGTCAGATTGCCGTCTGTGCTGAAACTGTGCTTACCATCCAGTCATAACAAGTAAGAAGATATTCGTCATCTTATAGATCGAACTAACTCCCAATTTTCAATCCTTTCTGAATTATTTCTGTATCTGTGTATGTGAAACTACTTGTATGAGACAAATTTGTAACTGATGCATAGTTACTGGCAACAGTTTTTTTGTAATCATTACACTTTGGTCAGAAATTAGCTTTTCAAATCAATATAATTTAAGTCGCCTGAATTTTGTCGAAAATTGAAATGTATACTATGTAGGTTGGTTTATGCAGTGGACTGCTAGAAAGTTTTGCTTACATTGGTACAAAGTAGTCGTTTATCATGTGACCTCTGCTCTTATTCGTGATCAGTTGTACATTTTTAACTGTCTGACTTCAATGCACATTAGTTTGAGTTGCATCCATTGTTTATAAACAGTTTTATTCGATTCAAGAATATAAGACACAGTCAATTCGTCAGTCTTCTTGGTCGTCACTTAGTTCAGGTTTCTAAGAATAATGGTAA